AGTTTGGCCTATCCTTCTGATACTGGCACTTGACTGCAACAGTGCAGTTGGAATATACTGTTCTCTGAACTCACCTTCCTGGGGAATATTTATTTCTTAGGTTTCCATGTGAATATACTCTGGAAAAACAAGTGACAGCAAAGCTTAGATTATATAATATCTAATCCACCTGATTGTATGTGGCTTACATCCAGTGAGAGGAGATTTCTTTGGGAGAATTATATTGTAGCAGAAATATTTGTACATGATTTTAGTTCATTTAGTTCGAGAGAAACACTGACTTCTTAAAGCAGTTTTTAAGCTTAAGGGAAGGCCAATACTATACCTCTATTTGTCAAAATTTGATATTATTTTTAGTCCTTTTATTTTAGTAAGTTGCATATATGTATTGTATTATTATATTATATTATATTATATTATTACACTTTAAAGAGAAGATACTTTAAAATTCTGGCTTCAGTTTTACACAGTTTTATACATTATGTAATCACTGTGGCAGTTGGCATTGTAAGTACCAATTTCTGTTGTTTTTGGCCTAGTAAAACAACTTGTTCATACGTGTATTACCAAAAAGAAAATTGGCGTGAAATTTTTTCATTTGTTTAGAGATGCTCCAAATGTCTTTCACATTCCATTGAGGTTCTATATTGGTAAATCATCTTTTGGTGGTTAGTGAAAACTGACCATCTATTGTTTGTTTGTACATCTAAGCTATTGTAATTATAATCACTGTGCTGTTATTCAGATTCAGGCTGGTCATAAAAGTTCAGAGATTCCTAATGGTCTGGGAGTATTTAGTGTACTTGAAGTAGATTTGACCTGCTCTGAATAGATAGAAATTCCCTTGGGACCACAAAGAACTGAAGCAGATCTAGTTTGAACAATGGAACCCCTCCAGGCATTGTTTGTTAACCTAGACCAACCACTATTTAAATCTTCTTAAATGCAAAGCAGCTTGTTTTTTTTAAATCAAGTAGCTTACTTTCAACCTCATTAGAACCACAGTATGGATTTCCAGAAATCGATTTTTGTCATAAAACCTTTTTTCTTAAGGATGAACACACACACACTACAACATAGATTCAGAAATTTTGAACAGATTCTTTTGAAGTAGATTGATAGTCCTGTATGATCTTACTTAGTATCAGTCCTTATAATACTTTGTCACAGTTTCATGATAATTCTGCTGTTTGAGATTGCTTCAAATAACATTCTAGTAGATGAGAGCTGTGTTCTAAAGACATAATTTGTAACTTTTATACATTTAATCAGAGGCTTGTTAAGGGCATATCACTAATCTCATTAAAATAAATGGGATACATTTAAATGGTTATTTATTGCTTAATCACCGCATTGGTTTTTTTTTTTTATATGACTGGCTGAGAAAGTGGATTAGAGTCTCCTTTTTAAAATAAGTATCTTCAGAAATGTGACATGACCCAAGAGAGTTAATTAGGCTTATATTTCTTCTTGTTAGAAATTTAACAATGAAAAAAGATTACGTGAACCAGAAAAAAAAAAAAGAAATCAGAAATTGATGTGTTCGTTGTCACGCTGCTCTGCACCTTATATAACAGTAGAGGAGCGATATTAGCATATACTTGTTAGATTTGGATTAACTGTAAAACATAATTATGTTTAAATTTGCACATACAAAAAAAATCCTCTAAAAATGAACAGATCTGTGTGCTGATGCTCAAAATTCCAGAGAATTAGTAAGAAGTTTCATGAGCAAGATGAATGTGGGAGCATAGCTATGACCATAAATTGCAGTAAGTCGCAAGATTTTGATACCTTTAAATAAAGTAGTCCCCTATATAACAGATTTAAAACTGAGTTGAGGCAAAGGAAAAAATAAGACAGGAAGTATCTAGAAATGTTTTGTCCTTTTCAGATTGTACTCTCAAGGTATCTCGTAGTAGTAATAATAGTAATGATGAATTTCTGAGTAATAGCTAACTGCTATTATGTGTCTCCAGCGTAGCAGGTGTTGTATACATTATTTCAGATTCTCATAACAACTTCATATAAGATAGGGTTATTTTATACACATGAGATAATTGATTGCATATCCTGCCTATCTTACACAGCTAGTTGGTGATAAGCTGGGATTAAATCACTTGTGTGATAATAGTTGGAATTTATACTTCATCTTGTTTTCTCTCCTTTCATTTCTCTTCAGTAAATGAGATTTTATGATAGCCTTGGAAAGTGTACCAATGGTCTGAGTGTATGGTTTGAAAGATTAGGCTGATAACTGAAGTTGAAAACGTGTAAAAGCAAACAAAACTTTACATCTTATTCTTCTAGTCTTCCTCCTAATTGTTGTTGTTGTAGTTATTACTGTTATCTTATTCTTATTCTTCTGTTACTCCAAAATACTGATTTCCTGTCTTGGACCAGCAGTATCAGAATCACTAGGAACTTGTTCGATGCAAATTCTTGGACCCTCTCACCCATATGTACTGGAATGGAACTCTGGGAGCTGGGTTCAGCCATCTAGTTTAACAAGTCCTCCAGGTGATTCGAATGCCTATAAAGCTTGAGAAGCAAACTCAGTCTAACGTAATATGGAATTAGTGGGCTGGATCAATATCGTGCTTTTCCCTCCCTATCTGTACTTAATCATATTGCGAAAGTGTTTATCCGACTTTTCCACTTGAATGCTCTTAACAACAAAAGAAAGTGTATACACAGGATGGACTAGTGAGGGCACCACCAAAAACATGAAGTCTCCTGTTTTGTTGTATAAATTTATTTATTTTAACTTTACCCTCTGCTCCATAGCAAGTATATGTTTATTTTAGTATAGAACATATGTATACCTAGAAAAATCACTGAGTAAAATTGATAGTCAAAAAAATGCACCGTGTTGTCAGGTAGCTTAAATATACATTGCCACTTCAGTGTTGGAAATTAACCTCATTTTGTAAGAATCTATTACAGTTATCAGTATTATCTTTTTTCAAAGGCAATACAAAGTATGAATGAAAAATGTGAAGTCAACAACCCACATATAAAAGTCACTCATTCTTTTATATTCATGCCTCATAGTTTTTTCTTGTTCTTCTAAAGAAAAATGTAAAAAGCTAAGAATTAATTATAGAAAAGTATTAGAGAAAATTTGAAATTCAATGTATATTACTGTTTAGCCTAACAAACATTAAGGTAGAATCTAGCACTGTGTTTTTATTTGGCTTACAGAGTTTAAAAAGTTTTAATAAAAGACTTAGTTCCTTCAGGTAGTTAAAAATGGGAAAGTACATAAAATCAGTTTTAAAATATTTGAGAAGTAGATATATAAAAAGATTTTATGAATCTCAGTCTATATAAAAAGAAAACACTTTTTGTGGTTTTCATCATAGCTTACACTTTATGAAAACGCTAAATGAATGTATACTTCAAGTAAGTTTAGGAAAGTAAAAGTAAAAAATAAAAGAATTACTACTAGATTTAGAAAGAATAGAAATAAATAAGAAGCATTTATTTATTGCTACAATCAAATGAAAAAACTTACTCTTAGATATAAGTCAATTTTATATTAATAAGTCTGGGTTGCTATTGAGGTATTGAATTTTTTCATTGAAGTCCACACATTATCCAGAAAACAAATAGATTTTATCTCATGCAGACATGCATATACACATACAGCTACTTTATGTTTCTGCCTTCTATTACCTAATGGCTTCCACTGACTTTGGTTTCTGTTCACTTTCATTCTGTATGTATCTTTGTTTTAACCCCTCTCTGACTGTCCTTCCCTCCACCGCCCAAGAACTTTTCAGTCGTCTGTCTGAATTTAAAATTGCTGAGTGAGAACCTGATTGTTTTTTTTTTTTTAGTTCATTATCATGTTTAGCCTGATCTTTCAAACTAGACCATCTGATAGACTGTTGGCCAGCCTATATATAGGCTGGACTTGAGTCAGAGTCTAGCCGGCTGTAATCGGGTAATAGATTCATGTGGTGTGAACTAGAGGTATGTGTACTGGAAACCCCTTTGAACAAGGATGACTGTTACAGTCGTTCTCCAGTATTGTATTATATATTACTTTAAACATATCGTGATAAATTTTGGGTATATTTTTACATACATTCCTCTAAAGTGTGTAACTCCATGTCTTTAAAACTAGCTAAGGAGGATTGTACTCCTCAGTTAAAAAGCAAATTGGCTGAAAAGCAAAAGGTTTTAGAAGGGGTTTACTTTCCCCAGGGACTGGCAGTGTTGCTTTTACATTGACTGAAAGCTGAGAATATGCTAGTTTTGTCTTACTTTTGTATTTTAAAAAAAACCACGACATAATTGGCATATGACATTGTGCATGTTTAAGAAGTTCTTTATATGCTTTTGAATAAAAAAAATTTCAAAACATTTTTATTTGATTCTACAGTTTTCCTATAATTACTTACCCTTTATCATTTCAAGAATACATTGTAGCATCAAAAGCTTGAAAGATAAATTGGTGTCATATAGACAATTAGAACATAAAAAGCAAAGAAAAATAGTAATTCATTAATGTCACCATTGCCTGAAGAACAGCAAGAAGAAAACGAACATACAAAGCAATTAAGATGTAATAGCAGATTCCATTTTTGGAAGAAGAGTGCAACAGACTATTCCTAAATTTCTTACTTTAGTAGCCATTGAAATGATCCCACTGTTGGAAACTAAGTTTAGGGACAGGTGGAAAGAGTAATGAATATGTCTTTGATTTCATTAATTTAAGTTGGTGACAGTTAATTTAAGATTTGAAATCTATAAAGATTCTCAAGTAACCATTCATTTAAGAGGTAGACAAGTAGATTAATGTGTCATCTCCTGTGGATGGTCATTGAACTTATGGAAGTATGTAACATAATTTGTTTTCCTAATAGGTAATGGGATACCTCATGCTACTGAGTTAAAAAATGAATAAATAAATAAACTTAAAGGTTAGCTTTAAAAGTAGGAAGTACTCTTAGTCTTAGAAGTTTGAATTATAGAGAGTTTTCAATAATATAGTGGTAAGTAAGAGAGATGATAGGAATGCAGTCTTTTATTTAGGTAGAGAGGAATACCTCTATGACTTATAAGCTATATTGGGGAAAAGAAGTTGTTTCAGAGGTTAACAGCTCACATAACAACCCTGTATGATATGCTCTAAAAATTTGAAAGTGAAGAAGAGAGAGGGAGGATTGCTTATGAGGCCACTTGTGAAACAGAATGAGGAGTGGAACCCTCCCCCATTAAAAGTGAGAATGAAAAGATAGTGATTTTTAAGTAAGATGGCTTATAGGCTGAGAAATTAGATCTTTGTTAATAAGTGACCAGAACATCCTTACAGTAAGTCATGAACTTCAAAATGATAATTCTAATATTGGCTATTGAAGAATTTTCATCAATTAGATATCTTCGTTATCCTTAGATTTTGTAGTAGTCTCTTATGCGACACTGTAAAAAAGTTTGTCTAAGCATGACTGTGATGGTATCATTGGGAATCAATAAAGTGAGAGTGGTTTACTATAAAGCTAAGGAGAAAAAATGGGTTTGAAGTATAAGAAAGCATAGCATTTAATTTGGTGCTTTAGACTCGTGAATGCGTGGTTGCAGCAGCTGATGTGAGTGATGCATAACATGAATTTTAATAAAGAGTAGGAATGAAGATAAGGAATAGATGGTTCCACTAGTCTTACCAGTTGAAAAGGACATATTCTTAATCATTAACTCGAACCATTGAAAACGTTTTGTATTTTTGGCTCTTTAGAGAACAGATAGTGAAAAATGACACAGATTGATGGCCTCATATATAACTGCAGTACTTGAATGATCAGGCTCGTGGAGAGAACGTTGCTGGTGTTTCTGTCATCAACTGTTGCTTTCCAGGCACATCCAGTTTTAAGAAGATAGTGATAAATTAGGTATAATGAAAGTTAATGAAAACGTCTTTTGGTTTATGGAGAGATGGTCAGCAAAGAAAAAAGTATGACCCCCACTTATTTTTGTGTACTTATTTTATGAAGTATTTAGTAGGGTTGTAATGGTTCTTTTGAACATAAATATACACCTTAGATAGTAACCATCTTAAACATTTAATACTAAGTTTATTTTATTTAAGGGAGGTTATTTGTGTAATTGCAAATCTGTAGATTTTTAATTCAATATGTCTCTTATTTTCAGAATTTATGCGAATTCCATGTGTGGATGCTGGATTGATTTCACCACTGGTGCAGCTGCTAAATAGCAAAGACCAGGAAGTGCTGCTTCAAACGGGCAGGGCTCTAGGAAACATATGTTACGATAGCCGTAAGTGTTGAAATGTCAATGATACACTTATAAACTTTTGTTTAAGAATTATGATTTTCATAATAATTCCACTTTTAGTGCTAGCACTGTCTTTTCTAGGCTAAGACACTAACATGGGCCAATTATGACTTAGCTCTGCTTATGCAGTAGAACTGAGGGAAATTTAGCCCATAGTGTTCTTAACTATGACTTAATTGGAAAGGCATTCCTTTTCCCTTCTATCACAGATGATACTTTCAGAGGGAAGTAAGTCAATTTCTAAGGATTGGGACTTTTAATTTTAGGGAAAAATGTATCTTCAGTTAGGTTTTATCGAAGTACCATCTCTAACTGATAATGCTTAATAACACATTTTTTTAGTTTCTAAGTCTGTCCAGATACACTTTTAATTACTTGCAATTTAGTAAAACCATTCATAAAAACCATTATGTTCTCAAGAGCTGGACTGGCCTATTGCATCTTGCATTGACTCCATTCCTATTTATCATAATGCCATTGTCATCCTCACCACTTTCTATAATACACTGTTTCTAGTAGGCAAAGGGAAAGCAAGAACTTGGGAATGGGTATAGACAGTGCAAAAATTTTACATTTTCTACTTTTGCTTCCCACATATATGTAAACAAGATACGGAAAAATCTTGAGTATATTCAACTTATTAGGCATATCCTGATTTTCCTTACTTTTCTATTTTCTGAGCTAAAACACCTTTTTAATATTCACCTTTAAAATCTCCTAGGAATTTAGTTCTGTTTATATAAGTAGGATAACTTTTGTTTAATTTCCCCATTGAGTTTATATATAAAAGGCATAGATAGCTCTTTTATAACATGCAGTGCTTCAAAAAGTGATTTGTGCATTTAAGCCAGGTAGAAAATAAGGTTATAAACACATTTATGATAAAAGAAAGAAGTAGAAGAAAAGAAGATTAAAACTACAGCTTTTAATTATAACTTGTCTGTAC